TTTTCTACTTCCCACAGTGCCCTAGAGGTGGTGAAATTGGGCAATGCTTTCTTGCTTCAACTGCCTGAGAGTTGTTGGACTAGGTCAGGGATAGGCAACCTTGGCTGGCTTAGGAATTCTGGGAGTTGAAGTCCATAAGTCATAAAAGAGCCAAGGTTGCCTACCCCTGGACTAGGTCATTGACTGAGGACTTCTGAAAAAATAGTTCATTTTTTCTCATCTACCCGTATTTTCCGGCGTATAAGACAACTTTCTAAACCCTGAAAATCTTCTCAAAAGTCGGGGGTCGTCTTATACGCCCAGTCGTCTTATACACCGGAATATACGGTAATTCCAATTCTGGAAATCTTATTTCTGTTTCTCTGGATGATTTCTCCATATTCAGAGGACTTATATCCATTTGAGATTCAGTTCATTTGCTGCTGTTAAAAAGAGAGCATTTAATGCAGTGGATGTCTAGAATAATTAGCTACTTCTCAGATCCTGTGCCCAACACAAGGTATCAGTTAGTGAATATTGTTAAGGAGCTGTGACCTGTAAGAACTGTACCAGGAAAAGCACCATGGGAAAGTTAACTTTCTTTCATTTTCTTAATGAGAAGAGCCATGGGGGCGCAGTGGCTAGAATGCAGTATTGCTGGCTAACTCACTGCTCACTCCAGGAGTTCGATCCTGACTGGCTCAAGGTTGACTCAGCCTTCCATCCTTCTAAGGTCTGTAAAATGAGGACCCAAATTGTTGGGGGCAATATTCTGGCTCTATAAACTGCTTAGACAGGGCTGCAAAGCACTGTGAAGCGGTACATAAGTCTAAGTGTGATTGCTACTGCTATTAATAGCATGAAATAAGATAGCATTGTGTTATGGCTAGTGAATATATTGTTCCTCTGTGTGAGCGCTCGCTCCCTCCCTCCCTCCCTCCCTCCCCCCTCCCCCCCTCTCTCTCACTCATACGCACCCACATAAGCACTTTTAAGTTGTGAGATCAATCGTATAATTTGGTAGTGTAAGTTTCTCGCTTCTTTCCCCCTCTTTTCACTTAAGGAAGCCTAAAGCAGGCATGTCAAACTCGTGACATCATGTGACATCGCACAACGTATCGGAGCTTTTTCCCCATTGCCGGCAATGGGGTGGGTGCGGTTTTGTCGTGACGCGTCCGGCCCGTGGGCCAGCAGTTTGTCACCCCTGGTCTAAAGTAATGAGGACTGGAAACAGTTTATAGGTAGTTCTCAACTTACAACCACAGTTGGCACCAGAATTTCTGTTGCTAAGCAAGGCGAATGTTAAGTGAGTCATACATGATTTTACAACCTTTTTTTGTTATTGTTGTTAAGTGAATCACTGCAGTTGTTAAGTGAATCACATGGTTGTTAAGCAAATCTGGATTCCCCCATTGATTTTTGCCTATCAGAAGACAGTCGGGAAGGTCACAAATGGCAATCACGTGACACTGTAGCCATCTTAAATACATGCTGGGTGCCAAGTGCTCAACTTTGGAACACTTGACTGTGGGAATGCTGTCATATTTGTAAGTGCAAAGATTGTTCAAGAGCCACTTTTTTCAGTGATTGATGTTTTGATTTGATATAAGGCATCTTCACGTGCTAAAAGGTCTGTTTATCTGACAAAATGTTTGATTGCAGATGTGTATTCTGGGGTTTGACATAGATTCTGGAACCTGGAATGCTTCAAAATGATGGGCTTTGCTCAAGTGCATAACTTGCCATCAGTAAGGGTTCTCTCCCCCCTTAATTCTTGGTTGTATGAGACAGATGTTTGTTAGATATGCTTCTAGGGCAGGGGTAGGCAACCTTGGCTCTTTTATGACTCGTGGACTGGCTCAGGAATTCTGGGAGTTGAAGTCCACGAGTCATAAAAGAGCCAAGGTTGCCTATCCCTGTTCTAGGGGCAGCACCCTATTATTTTTATTTTTTGTGGATCAGAAGCATTTTTTGAGAATGAAAGTGATTGTTGATGCTGGCATTTTGTTGATGGATAGATTGTTGTGGCATTTTATTTATTTAGTATGCAAATACATATGTGTATGTAGGCTCCCCATCTCATATACTTGACTTTGGCCATCTCACAATTAAAACGGAGCCTGGCAAGAGCCAGGGGATATTTTACAGGCAAATTACCGAGCATTATGTGAGGAATCTGGCATTTGGTAAGAAGAAAAATAACATATACTTGTTTAAATAATGTTTAAAAAATTATACTGGCATTCCAATTCTGTTCTTACAGTTTGAAGGTGGGATCTTTTAGAAATTCCAGTATATCATTCTTTGCTTTGCTTGTTGTGAGAGCTAACTTTTGACATAAGTCTGTAGAAATGATTGAGGTATTTAGATATCTTCTTCAGTAATACTCCCACACAAATACAGTACATCCACACAAGCTTCTTTTTGGAGAGTTTCAATTGAGTTTCTAATGCTTAATATGTCATGGCTTCACAACCATCTTCCTATGGTTCTTGGGCTGGGCTGCTGGTATTACTGTATGATTCAGAAGGCCTAAAACATTGTTTCTCAACCTTGACAATTTTAAGGC